GGGACATCCCAGGAGTCCACTCCTGTGGACAAGAGACATAGATCGGGGTGTAAGGAGGGCCACCAGATCCATGGCAGGGCTGTATGGTTTGTGGACCACATGACATCACCGTTTGCTGATGACACCTGCCAAGTCAATTCCTGGGGGTATGTGAGGATTGTGAGGATTTCCTAGGGCTGAGGGAAGCATAAGGGGTAGGAACTTAGGGCCATCACCCAGTCTCTAGGACTCTTATCTTGAGTGGGTTTTGGATATGTTGGAGCTTCCATCTGGCTGGCTTGTCTGGATTCTCGCCATCCTCCAATGGCGCTGGCTTGATGTGTGAGGCGTGGATCCAGGCAGCGATTCTGTCTACCTTAACAGCGGTCGGAGTGGTCAGCAGCACAGTATATGGCCAGTGAGCTTCAAGGGTCCTGGACTGATGTCTGTGGACACAGACCGAGTCTCCAATCTGGAAAGGATGAGGCGCCACCGGACTCTTGGTCTGTCTGGTACACTGCCACTAGGGGCTTCCAGACTTGGTTCTGGATCAGCTGTAGGGCCCTCAGCCCGGCCTGTAGGCTGGGAGATGTAGCAAAAGAATCAATGTCAGGCCCCAGCAGGTCTGCTATCGGGGGAGCCCCCCCCCCAATAGAGGATTTCATATGGAGTCAGTCCAAAAGGAGTAGGGGTGTTCCGAACCCGGAACAGGGCCATCGGCAGGAGCTCGACCCAGTCTCTAGTGCCAGTCTCCAATGCTAATTTAGTTCAGGTACAATAGGATGAATGTCCTCAGTCCTCCGGTTCACCTCCCTTAATTCCTGAACCGGCCTGTAGTCATTCGTGCTGGGCTTTTTAACTGGCAGTAAGGGGGTATTCCATGGCGACTGACAGGGCTTCAGAATGCCTAACTGTAACAGCCTTTGTATATGGAGCCGGATTCCATCTTTTGCCTCCCTAGCCATGGGGTACTGGCGGATAGATACTGGAGCAGCTGAGGGTTTCAAGTTTATTACTAGGGGCGGCTGTTGGGTAGCGAGCCCCGTACCTGCAGTCTCTGCCCAGGCCAAGGGGAACTTAGCAAGCCACTGAGGGTCCATTGGGGAAGTTGGTGTCGGGGGTCTTTCATGCAACCGGTGTTCATCTTCCAAACGTAGGGTCAACACTTGGAGGGGCTGACCCCCAGGGCTAGCAACTGAAGGCCCTTTTTCATGGAAGTGGATCTGGGCCCCCACTTTTGAGAGGAGGTCTCTCCCTAACAGTGGGTATGGACGATCTGGCACCAGCAGGAATGAGTGGGTGACCTGACCCGTGGACAGGTGGACTTTCCGTTCAGTCGTCCATCTGTATAACCTTCCCCAGTGGCCATGTGGACCCATGATGTTTTGGAATTGTGGGGTCCCCTGGCCTGGGTGAGGACCAAGTATTGTGCTCCGGTATCAACCAAGAAGGTCACCGGTTGGCCCCCCACTTCAACGTTTACCCGGGGCTGGGGGGGGGTGTCCCTGGTCCTGACTCACCTAGTCTTCTTCCAAAGACAGCACTGGAACAGGCTTGGGTGGTTTCCCTTGTTGACCTCTTTTTGGGCAATCTCTCACCCAATGTCCTTTTCTTTACAGTAAGCACATTGATAGCCATCCACCCGCGGCCTCCTTTTGTCCCCCAGGTTTCTATTCTGTCTAGGCCTCCTCTGCTCTGTCCCTGTTACTACGGTGGCCAAGCTTTTAGTCAGCCTCTTGTTTCTTTCTCTTTTTGTCTCTCTAGTCCTCTCTATGTTCCTGTTCTCTGCGAATGCTCTCCTCTCTCTCTCTTCCGGTGTCTCTCTTTTATTAAAAATCTTTTTGACCTCCTTAACTAGGTCTTGTAATGCATACCCCTGTAGCCCCTCCAGTCACTGTAGCTTAGTGCGGATGTCCGGAGCCCATTGTCCAATGAAGGACGTTATCCCCTCAGCCTGCCAGTCTGGCACTTGAGGGTCGAAGGGCGTATACATACGGTATCCCTCTATCAACCTTTCTAAGAAACCCTCTCCTCTGATCCTTGAGTTATAGCACGTACCTTAGCCAAATTGGTGGGGTGCCTGCCCGCCCCTTTGAGACCCGAAAGGAGAATCTGGCTATAGAGACGAAGTCGCTCCCTACCGGCCACAGTGTTGAAGTCCCAGTCAGGACGAGTGGGGGAGGGGGGGAAGCTTCATCAATATCTTTGGGCAGCTGAGTGGTTCTGCCGTCGTCTCCCGGCATATTTTTGCAGGTTTCCAGGAAGACGCGCTGTCTCTCCTCCGTGGTGAGAAGGGTCTGCTAAAGCTGCTGGCAATCATCCCAAATGGGATGATGAGTCAGCAGAACGGACTCGACCAGCCCGGTCAGAGCTTGGGAGTCTTGGGAAAAAGAAGGGTTATGAGTTTTCCAGTTGTAGAGGTCGGAGGCTGAGAACGGCCAGTATTTATCTGGCCAGCCACTGAACGGAGAGGAAAAACCTGTGACGTCCAGACGCCCTCTGTCAGCTGCTAAGCTGTGGCGAGGGCTCCCCAGGCGCCCCCTCCGCCCCAGCCCAGCTGATTGCCCTAACAACAGCCCCTCCCAAGAGGACACTCCAAGGTGGGGAGGAGGGCTGCTTGGTCCTCACATGAGGGGCCATACCCTAAAGGGCCTCACACCTTGAGAAGGGCCCACTCACCTCTTTGGCAAGCTTTAGTGCCTGGCCATAGAAGTTGGTTTCCATCAGTCCGAAAGCATAGATACCTTTCACATAGCTGTAAACAGAGAAAAGACTTCAGTTCCCAGGAAGCCGAATAGGAACGGGTGGGATGGAGTCCGCCAGCAGGAGCGGCTGGAGTCCACACACCAGGGCTAGTATGTGACTGTGTTTGGACACAGGAGCTTTGCAGAAGGAACGGAGGTAAGATCCGGTGGGTGGTAATCTGATTGCTGTTTCCACTTTGTAAGACAGCAGTGTGGAGGTTGTGGTGTCAATGAAGAAAGGACTTACACCCCAATTCTGCTCGCGCCTTCCGCAAAATACAGCACTAAAAGACTGACTCATGCCCTCAACCCAGAGAGGAGCTGAGCTCAGCAGTCCTCCTTTAGAACTTCCTTTAGTGCAAGACAAAGTGAAATTCAACCTGATGTTAATTGTTCCAGAATCCTGTGCTGACCACATGGCTCACCCACTACTCAGCAAAATCTACTTCCTCAGTCAGCAATGCAGAGTCTCTCCACATAGGATGACAGGGTCTAGGGGCACTTCCCTGGGAGCCTGGCACTGTGGGTAACTCTATTCAGGCTTCTGTTGCATCGTCCTGCACCCAGCCTGTGAGCACCCACTGACCAGCCTGCCAATCCCCAGAACTGATCCCAGTGGCCTGTTTGTCCAGCTCACCCTCCATTCTGGCCCACATACTTGCATTTCTCATCAGTCACCCAGGCACTGAGCCCCAAGATGGCTGGTCACAGGTGACAGAGGGGATCTATCCTGTGTGAGCAAAGACAGAAGCTACTGTCTAAGTCTCAGGTGTCACTTTTACTGTCCAGCACAGGGGCACATGGCAGCTTTTACTGGAGAGCAGTGGCTGGCAGGTGACTTAAAAAAAATATTTACTACTCAGGAATCAGAGGGAGGCTGATCTCTGTGAATTGGAGGCCAGCTTGGTCTACAGAGCTAGTTCCAGGCCAGCCAGGGCTACTCAGAGAAACCCTGTATCAAAAAACGAACAAACAAAAAAATTTACCAAGGGATTACTGTAGGTCAGGTGCTGTGGGATATTCTGTATGCTGTGAATGTATTGCTCTGATTGGTTAATAAATAAAGTGCTGATTGACCAGTAGCCAGGCAGGAAGTATAGGCAAGAAAAAGAGAGGAGAATTCTGGGAACAGGAAGGCTGGGTGAGGAGACGCTGCCAGCCACTGCAATGAGAAGCAGACGTTAAGATACTGGTAAGCCACAAGCTATGTGTTAACTTACAGATTAATAGAAAGGGGTCAATTTAAGATATAAGAACTAGATAGCAAGAAGCCTGAGCCACACGGCCATAGGGTTTATAAATAATATAACCATCTGTGTGTTTATTTGGGTCCGAGCAGCTGCAGGATTCGTGAATGAGAGAGATTTGTCCTGACCGTGGGCCAAGCAGTAGCCCCAAGCAGGGCAGGAGATAACTCCAGCTATAGTCAGGTACTACTAGCTCACAAGTGTTATATCTTCAATTGGGCTAAACAATGGAACCTGGACCTGTGGTCAGGCACCATTTGAAGGGTAGCACAAAGGTATTTGTACTAGAAGTGAGTACTTTTAAATCAGTAGACTTAGACACAAACAAGATTCTCAATAATGTGAATGGGTCTTGTCCAATCAGGTGACAGTCATGGAGAAAAAGTTGCAGAAAGAAAAAGACACTTGGCCTTCCAGGTTCCTTTAGATACAAAGAGGAAGTTGACTTTTGTGGGAATTTCTAGCCTGTCACCCTGCTCTACAGGTTCTGAATCTGCCAGATGCTACCTAAACAGCCCTCTGGAGAATACCCCTTTCCCTTGTAGCAACGGGTGTATCCACAGGTCATTGCTCTATACATCTTGATAATAGACAAGGATGTGGCCACAGAACCCTAGGACCCATACAAATGATAGGAAATAGCCAGGCATGGTGGCTCATTACCTATAATTCCAATATCTAAGAGGATCAGGTATACGATTGCCATGAACTTGAAACCAACCTGGGTTACAGAATCAGATCCTAACTTAAAAAAAAAAATAAAACTAATGATGGCATGAAGTATGGGCGTTATGTTTTGGATTATATTATCTTGGGGGTGCTTGTTACTACACACAAAATATCCTATGTGACTGATACACAAAGATGGTACCTCATTCACAGGATGGGATGAAGATCAAATGAAGAGAAAGAAGCCTTTTAGATGAGCAGCTGGAGTCTCATTATCGCTAGGCTCGGGCCAATAGAGTTTCTGAGCCTTTAGGAGAGGGGAAAGGAGAATGAGATGATGTGGCTTCTTGTCTACATGTACCTGTTAAGAGGGACGTTAGGTTTCCAAAAGGGGTAAATTCGAGCCACAGAATCCCGCATCTGCTCCTGTTGGCCCAGGTAAAAGTCGGCATCATGGGCAAACCTCAGGGCCAGTATGTCTGTTGGGTGGTCCTGAAGGATCTGCTCCAAGAGATCACAGGCCTTGGGGAAGTTCCTGCAAGACAAGAACACACTGAGCATGAAGTCCACATCCATGGGGATGGGAGTGGTGGTGGTGCAAAGCATATGTCACTATCTGCCTGGGCTGCTTTAAGCAGTTATATCTGGGGCTGTGGAGATGGCACAGTGGTTAAGCGTACATGCTGCACAAAGATCAGGACCTGAGTTCAAATCCCCAGCAGCAGAGTAAAATTCAGGCATGGCCACGCCCCTGTAATGCCAGTGGTGGAGAAAGGAGGGTGTCTGGGGCTTGCTGGGCACCAGTCCGCTGAAAGACCATGAGCTCTCGGTTCAGTGAGAGACCCTGTCTCAAGGGACTAAGATGGAGAACCATAAGATGGGACACTTGACATCCTCCTTTGCCCTCAGCACAAGAGCACATGCATTCTCACCAAGACAGACATGTGTACATACACCTGCACACAGAAAATATATATATATATACACACACACACACATATATGCATGTGTCTCATGCAGGGGTTATGAAACTAGAGGGGGTGCAATCTGGAGGGGGGAGGCAATAGAAAAGGCAATGGACTATGTGTGACATGAACACAGAGGGACATTCTTGGGGGGAAGAAGAAAATAAGCCAGAGTGGGGCAGGGCCTTGAGGACAGACAGTAGGGTGCTGGTGAAGGAGAGCAGGTCTGATAAGATCCACTGCTTTGTATACTAAGAGTAATTCATAAAAAGAGAAACTGTTCCCAATTAAGAAAAAAATTCCATCAAGAGCTAAGGTTGTCATTGGAACTTGCTTAGCAGGCAGGGCTCTGGAGTCCATACCCAACACTGCACAGAAAAAAAATGTTATAGACACATATATGTACACATTTTCTACATTATCTTGTAGCTCATAAAATTCAAAAACCAGTAGGATGTGGAGAGATGGCTCAGTGGTTAACAGCACTTGCTGCTCTTGCAGAGAACCAAGGCTCAGTTCCTGGCTCCCCTAGTGCAGCTAAAACATCTCTAACTCCAGGTGTGGGAGTTCTGGTGCCTGCCTTCTCCAGGTCTGGTAGGGCACCAGGCACACATGTGATACACAGACATACATAGAAGAAAAACACTCAAGACACATAATATAAAAATAAACAAATCTTCAAAGAATAAGAAAGAGAAAAACAGGTGTGTGTGTGTGTGTGTGTGTGTGTGTGTGTGTGTGTGTGTGTGTGTGTGTGTGCATGCCAGAGGTCAACATCAGGTGTCCCCTTCAAGTGAACCCCCTTATTTCCATAGTCTCTCACTGAACCTGGACCTTACCAATTCAGCCAGACTGGTAGGCCAATAAGAGTCAGGGTCTGCCTGTCTCCACCTCCCAAAGGCTACAGTACACAACACCATGCCTGGATTATTGCCTCTGTGCTGGGCATCTGAATTCAGATCCTTAAACCTGTGTCACAAGCAGGCTAACATTTAAGCCATCTCTTCAGCCCAGGTAGACTAAACCAGTTGCCAAGTACAAATTGCCCCAACCCCATGAGGCACTCAGAGAACCCCACATCTACACTGAATCACTAGAAATTTTTTGGGTGATAATGTTCTGTATGCTGTGAATGTGTTGCTCTGATTGGAAGATAAATAAAATGCTGATTTGCCAGTTGCCAGGCAGGAAGTATAGGCGGGATAAACAAACAGACAAGTGCTGTGGGATGGTCTATATGTCAAAATTGTTGCTCTGATTCGTAAAAAAATAAAACACTGATTGGCCAGTGGCCAGGCAGGAAGTATAGGCGGGACTAACAGAGAGGAGAATTGAGAGAACAGGAAGGCAGAGGGAGACACTTCCAGCCACGGACAAGACAAGCAGCATGTGAAGATGCCAGTAAGCCACGAGCCATGTGGCAACTTATCGATTTATAGAAATGGATTAATTTAAGATGTAAGAACTAGATAGCTAGAAGCCTGAGCCATTAGGCCAAACAGTTTAAATTATATGTCTGTATGTGTATTTTATAAGTGGGCTGCCTGACTGTCGGGGCTTGGCGGAACCTGGAGAGAAAACTCTCCAGCCACAGACAAGGAAAATTCTGGGAAGTGAAAGGCTGAGTCAGAAGATGCCAGCTCGCCGTCCAGGGAGCAGCATGTAATGGCAGACAGGTAAAGGCATGGAACACGTGGCAACATATAGATTAACAGAGATGGGCTGAGATTAAATGTAAGAGCTACTCAGAGGTAGGCCTGAGCTAATGGCCTAGCAGTTTAATTAATATAAGCTTCTGAGTGATTGTTTTATAAGTGGCTGCGGGATCCAAAGGGCCTGGGCAGGACAAGAGAAAACATCTGCTACAGAAACTGGTGGGACTTTCTTGGTCTACCCCCCAGACTCCTCACAGTAAGCATGAGATATCTGTTCTAAGACACATCTCACCTTTCCAAGCAGAGGGACGGCCCTGGGGGACTGTGGGAATGGAGACAGGGAACCATCTGGAAGGTAAAGAGCTGGTACACACAGTATTAGAATCCTGAACAAACCCTAAAGACCTCTATGTTGAGAGCTGGGTGCTGTGGGATGGTCTGTATGGCAAATGTGTTGCTCTGATTGGTCAATAAATAAAACACTAATTGGCCAGTGGCTAGGCAGCAAGTATAGGCAGGACTAACAGAGAGGAGAAAAGAAAGAACAGGAAGGCAGAAGGAGTCACTGCCGGCCACTGCCAGGACAAGCAGCATGTGAAGATGCTGGTAAGCCACGAGCCACGTGTCAAGGTATAGATTTATGGAAATGGATTAATTTAAGCT